GGAGCCTAGGCTGGCCTGATCACCTAATCCTCCTCCTGCCTTAGCCAGCCAACTGCTGGGATTACTTCAAAAAAATGAAAAGCATTAAGAAGTAAAACAAGCAGAAACAAAAACCTTCTAAAAAGCAGCATGTAGCACAAAGCATTACACATTAATCCGTGAGTTGTTGGTTCAGGTATCATGAAAGGCTTAATAAATTGCTAGTTTGACAATTCTATTCCAGATACCCCTTCAGAAATAATTACAGTGTCAGTTTATGTTTCTGACTAAAAGGAAAAGGAGAAAAAAAAAAGAGTGCTCTGCTGTTTCCATGACAATGCCACTTTTAAAACCACAACTTTAAAAAATAGTAAGCTATTATTGGCAATTAGTATTTCCTGTAGTCTTTCTGATTTAAATTTCTCAGTTGTACGCAATTTGCTACAGTATTAACATTTCCAAATTGACTAGACTACGAATCAATTTTTAGGATCAGTTAATCTTTAAAATTTCAAAAGGGCTGGGGACGTGGCTCAAGTAGCGAGTTCCTGCCTACAAGTGCAAGGCCAAGTTCAAATCCCATACTGCCGCCCCATCCACCATTCCCCTCCAAAACAAAATCCAACAGAACTAATCATGAATTTTTGGTATTTTTCTTTGAAACTAAAACATTTTTAATCTCTCATTAGAAGAATTGGACAGGCTAGGTTGTGGTGCAACACCTGTTAATCCAATCATATTGGATGCTAGGGCAGGTAAGTCTCAAGTTAAGGCCAGCCTGGGCTTACAATGACAAATTGGTTGGCCAGTTTTGGGCTTTAACCCAGGAAGAGAAAAAAAAAAAAAATTCAGTGGACGTGCATGATAGCATATTTATAAGAGGCTTATGAATAAATGTGGCATCATAACTAAAGGAACTAAAATTTACAAGTTTTTTGAATCTCTTTTTAAATCGATTCTACTCACATTGGGTTAATGCAATGTAGAACATTAAACCCAGATGTTGTGCTAGCTCTGAGGAAAATTTAAAAAGAAAGGGAAAAAAAAAGCATGTCATGATATAAAAGGAATTTTCAAGGAAAATATAAGGAATTTTCAATCTGGTAAAAGGGATGGACATGTTTCTATTTTTTTACAAGTCAGGACCAAAAATCAAAATGGAGATACAAAATGTTATATGGTAAGAAAGCAAGGAATTCCTACAGGAGTCTGGAAACTTTAATTTAGGGTTTTTCACTGGCCAGTCTTCTAGACAGATGAGATTTATTGAGATAAGACTTTAAAGAAAATACTCTGGGGTAGAGGTGGAGGTGCAGAGGCAACAGCACAGACTTAAAGAGAGCAAAGCACAGGATGCACTAAAGAAAACTGAAGCAGAGAAGGAGCAGGAAAAACCTACAACCAGAGGCAAAAATGAAAAGGCTGGCTTTGGAAAGGAAAAAAAAAAAAAAAAAGGTATATAATTCTATTTCTAGAAAAGAGTAAGAACTGAAAATATAGGTATATTTTGAGATTCTAACAATTAAGGAGGAAATCACCTACTTAGAGGCTGGAGATACCTGAGGCTTTCAAGGAAAATAAAAAATTGGCGATTGAGTCCTGTGAGTCATGAAATAACACTGTTTCAGAAACAGTGAAAGCTATGCAGCCTCAAAGTATAATGGATCCAATCAGGATTGTGTGACCTTCACCAGAAACTTTCAATTGAGGAGAAAGGTAAGTAGTAGAGGGGGGTCAAAATGACAAAAGGTCAGTGGGTAGGAATTCTACAGTCCCCTCTGAAAGCACTGGAAAAACATGTGCCTCTGAGGTACAGGCTGGATAGGAAAACAAAAGAAACTCAAGAGAGCTATCAGCCCAGAGGCCAGAAGAAAGAAGTCTCCACTAGACTTGAGTTAGAAAGAAAAACACAGGCCCTCCTCTTTTATCTCAATGGCTAAAGCAGTGGTGTTTCACTGTTTCAGAAACTGCAGTTTAAGAAACCTCCAGGTCGAACATGGACAAACTAGAGATATTCTTGCACAAGCATTATGAGGTCAAAATGAAAATTCAACCTAGAAAGAAGTCTAAGGACTGCAGGAGCACACCACTTCCACAAGTATGGTACACACACATATAAATTTGTAAGAGCCACACTTTTTATTTGGCATTTCTAATTTAAATTGCCACATTAATCTAAATAAAGTATATGTAAAATACTCAGTTTTAATTGTATGTAAAATACTCACTGTTGCATTAAGAAGCCAAATTCAACACACACAAATTATTCCAACAGGAATTTCACAAGAGTGAACTATTCTATATGCTAACAAATATTCAACATACCTTTTAGAATTCTAACTTTGGAAAAAAAATGTGGAAAAATTACTAAAGCTTCAGATGACGCTATGGAAAGACAAATAAAAGCCTGAAAGATAACAAGCAGCAGTCCAAGTATTTATGCAACATGAGGACTTGGAACTTACCAAAAAACAGGTGAAAAACCAGTGTGGGAGTTGGGGGGAGGGGGGCCTGGAGATACAGCTCAATGGCCGAACACTTGACTAGCGTGTACCAGGCACTGGGTTCAATCCCCAGCACTGGAAGGAAAAAAAAGTAATTGTTTGTTTTTATAAATTTAACCACATTGGCATGAGATTTTTTTCGGGGGTGCTAGAGATTGAACTCAGAGCCTCATGCATGTGAGACAAGTGCTCTATGCTGAGCTATACATCGATCTCCAATGCTCAGAGTTCTAATTATAAATAATTTCTGATGTTATTATTAGGTAAAGTAAAGAAATGAAGAATGACCTAAAAACTTACTTATAGGGCTGTACCATATCATCATTCTTCTTGGAAATAAGAGTTGTCAAGCCATTGGCTAAAAATCACTTCTAATCTCAGCAAGTGCATTTTACTGAATGCAAAGATGAATATAATTGATTCATAGATATAACTTAAAGATCTAAAAACTTTCATCTCTGATATAAAATCTACTTGAGATCAAATTAAATACAACTAATAGAAGCAATACAGTATAATGGCTAAGGGACGGGCTCTACAGTAAGTCAGTCTAGCTTTATACTCACTCTACGTTACAGCTAGAGCACACGAGGTGCTTGGTAAAGTGCTAAGACATAATAAGATACCATACCATGTTATCACTTCCTCTTCCTCATCACCTCTTTATAATAATATGAAAGAAAGTAATTACATCTTCTTCCTTATTCCTGAACCCATCATTAGCTATCTATAGTCCTTGACAAGATCCATCTGCCAAACTCAAAAATCCAGTCACAGGCTGGCATGGAGGTTCACACTTGTAGTAATTTCAGTGCTCACAAGGCTGAGGCAGGGGGATCTCCAGTCTAGGCTATATGAGACACCGTCTCAGAAGACAGTAACAACAAAATCTAATCACAAATCTGCCCTGACATCTACTCTAAAAAAAAATATAGAAGAAAAAGAGAAATATTTGCTTTAAGGAAATTCAGCCCAGTCACATACCTTAAAATTAACTCCTCATAGCATAAGAGGGTGGAATTGACTCTACTATCTTTTAGAAGTAGGTGATTCCTCCTCCGCAAAACAATGAAAACTTACTGGGCACCAGTGGTGCAGGAAGGGAGAAAAGGAGGGAAAGCTTGACTTTGTGCAACACTGAAGAAAAATCCTAAATGCTTAGTAACAAATGAAGGTAACAGATTTACCCTGAGCACCACCACTGCCTGCCCCTCCAAACAACTTAAATAAGGAAGCATGAGGTACCAGAGCAAGAACAGTTGAGAAAGGGTGATAAAACAAGGAGATGGTCCAAACAGCTGTGTAAGCAATAGAAATAAACCATTTATTCCCACTATGCAGTTTCAACACTTCGTCTTGAAAACCACAGGCCTTCCTACTTCATAGTAAAACAAATTCTCACCTATATATAAAGAAGGAAATAAAATTCTGACTCATAGAGCTAAGGGCATGGTTCAGCAGTACAGCATCTGCCTAGAGTGACTGAGGCCCTGGAAACCATCCCCAGCACCACCAAAAAGAAACAAAGAAAAATTCTGACTCATAAAGGCACCCTCACAGATGTTACTTCTAATAAACGTCTTCCAAGACTACCAGATCTGGGGCTGGAAGCACAGCTCAGTGGAAGAGCACTTGCATAGTATGCTCAAGACCCTATACAAAAGACTATGAGATTTGAGAAATTAATGTTTTAGCCAAGGAAAGTAACCTTTACTTGCCCTCTTGGGAAAAAAATCTGATCTGAATAGCTGGGCTTCTAAATGATTTGTTACTCTGATAATAAGATATACATCACGTCTGAGGTTTCCAATAGGCCTAAATATATGCATGTTCTGGCTGTTAAGCCAGAAGAGGACCACTGACTTCCTTTTCTCCCATGCCCCAAGGCATGGAAAAACAGAACCAATGACTTATACATGGAAAGTTGTGGAAATTACCCATTATTTTGAAATCTGGTAGGTTTTCTGGTGGTACTAGAGGCTGAACACAGGATGTCATGACTGCTAGGCAAGCAATCTACCACTTGCCCCATGCCCTAGACTTTTAGTTATTTTGGTAATAGAGTCTCAAGTTTTTGCCTTGTGCTGGCCTGGACCACAACGACAGGTGCACACCAACTTGCCCAGCTTTATTTGTCTCTCAAGTAACTGAGATTACAGGCATGAGCTATGACACCCAGCCTCCTTTAAAAACTTTTAAAGAAGCTGGGCACTAGTGACTCACATCTGTAATCCTAGCTACATGAGAGGCTGCATTCAGGAAGATCACAGTTTGAGGCCACACTAGGCAAATAGTTTCCAAGACCCCCATCTCCAAAGTAACAAGAATGAAATGGACTGAAGGCATGGCTCAAGTGGTAGAGCTCCTGTTTTTCAAGTGCAAAGCCCTGAGTTTTGAGAGAGAGACTGTACAGTTAAATGCTAAAATACGGTTGCAAAATAAACTATTAGTGTAAGTGGCATGACTATATGGAGAAAATGCAAGGCACTCAAAATTAACAAAAGCACACTAAATGACTTACCTCCTTCTATTCTGTTCTTATCCATGAGAGGCTGCTTAATCCATTGGTTGACTAGTCTCTGACCTTGAGGGGTTTTGCATTTATTTAACAATGCAGCCAGAGACTGAGAGCCAGTGGTATCTTCGACAGAGCCCTAAAAAATAAAAAGTAAAAGAATGGTATGCTTATTAGTAAAAACTAACTATGCTACAAAAAGTAATTAAATAATTTGTGGAACAGAACACATAATACTCTTTAAATACAAAATGAGAAATTTCCACAAAAATTCCTCTAACTAAGCTAAGGTCAACTTTCAACCTATTAATCTGGATTTTCAGCTGTAGATTTTTCCCTAAGCCAAGACTAATTTATAATTACTGTAGTTTTAGACATAAAACTACTCAGAACATAATTTTAAAGAACTGCTGTTGTCAGGCACTGATGGCTCACGCCTGTAATGACAGCTACTTGGAAGGCAGAAATCAGGAAGACTGCAGTTTGAGGCCAACCCAAGCAAATAGTATGTGAAACCCTATCTCAAAAATACCTAACACAAAAAGGGCTGGTGGAGTGGTTCAAGGTGTAGGCCCTGAGTTCAAGCCTTACCAAATAAATACATAGATAGATAGATATACAAAATTATTCAAAAATGTTAATATGTAAAATTATTCAGAAAGCTAAGACAAATATTATAAATACAGCTTGGAACTAGAAAAATTAATACAACAATTCAAAACTTATCTATTCTAAATATAGCATTTCAAATAGTTAATAAGAGTCTTCCTTAATAAATTCCTTATTAGGAATTTTCAGAATCAAGGGAAGCATTTTTTAATCATTCAGTATCAGTTCATATTATTTTTATTACCTGGAAAAGGTTAAGTGCTCTAACCGCTGCAATATCCAACTTCATGTACTGGCTGAAGTCAAAAGTAGTCAAGTCAAACTGTCCAAAATTTGAATCATCTGATAAGAGTTCTAAAAACTTGATTACTGCAGACAATGATGAAACTGCAACCTAAAAATAAGAATTTAAAATAAAAGATTCCTTCATTTACAAGAATAATTCTAAAGATTATTAAAAGACAAATGCAAAATGAGAATGAGAATTTTTTTAGTGATTCTTCCCCATTCAAACCAAGAAAACCAAAGTTAAAACAATTTTTATAAAGTGAAAATTACCTGAAATAGCAGCACTACTTAAAACAGTCAAAAAATGGAAGCTACCCAAATGCCCATCAAGAATAAGATAGATTAAACTGGGCGCTAGTGGCTCACACCTATAATCCTAGCTACTCAGGAGGCAGAGATCAGGAGGATCGCTGTTTGAAGCCAGCCTAGGCAGCTAGTTCACAAGACCCTATCTCAAAAAACTCTTCATAAAAATAGGACTAGTAGAGTGGCTCAAAGTGAAGGCCCCAAGTTCAAGCACCAGTACCACAAAAAAAAAAAAAAGTAAGATGAATAAATTCTAGCATGTTCAGCATACAGAATATACACGACAATAAATCTGATCATAAGCAATCAATAATTATTACCCAACAGTATGGATGAACCTTTATAAACCTAATACCAAATGGAAAAAGCTAACCTCAAAAGTATATACCATGTGATTCCTTTTATATAAACTAAAAAAACAGGCAAAATTATTGTGTTAGAGGTTAGAAGCAAGACTACCCTTGGTGGGGATAATAATTACAAGGAAGCACAGTAGGGCTTTTAAGGACCTAGTAATATTCTGTTCACAGATGCTGGTTAGGAAGTATGTTCAGTTATGAAAATTCAGTTGTACTCTTGTGGTATATGCACAAGTACATAAGAAATAAGTTTATCCCATATTATATACTGCTTTATGTTACTATAACATAAAAAGTTCAAGACCTCAAACTCATAGCCAATTACAAATTAAAATAGACTTAAGAGCTGGGCATGGTGATCACACTTATAATCCCAGCACCTGTAATCCTGTAATCCAGACCTAGGAGAATGCAGCAGGGGGAACTCAAGTTTCAGGCCAGCCTGGGCCTGAAACACAGCTGGAAGTATAACTCAGGCCATAGAAGCCTGAGTTCAACCCTCAGAACCATCAAAAGAAAAAAAAGAAACCACATACAAAAAAGATAAATGCATACATGCTGAGGGACTAGGTTTGTAACTCAGTGTTAAGAGTGCATGCTTAGCATGCCTGAGGCCCTGGATTTGTTCCACAGCACCATGAAAAACGAAACAGAATTAAACTGTACTTGACATCACATCCATTGTGAATTTACCTAGGTCTTTCTATCCGGTAACAGAGTAACATATCTGCTCTTGCCAAACTCCAATTAATGCATAAGGCTGTCACAGCGACGTCCAGGCATCATCAGCAGACATAAACACCTTTTTAGTATCTCTAAACACTTCCTATTTTCAATAAAAGGGATAAATCCTGGATTATCACTCATCCATATTTGCTTAAATTAATAATCACTTCAAATCCTGAGTCATAACAGTCTCAGTTCACTCTTTGAAATCTACTTTGGAAACTGTAAGCAGTTATAAATCTATTCTGTCTTGTCTAAACAGACATTTTCATTTTACTCATTAGGGATCTACAAATATCTGGTCAAGAATTTGCAGTATTTTATCATAAAAGTACACCTCTCAAACCATACCCACCTCAGGCACTGGAAATTCCATACAAGCTACATGTGTGTATTCTTTCTCCTTCGTAATGCTGGGGAATCCAACCCACAGCCCTGCACATGCTAAGCTAAGCAACTCTACCTCTGCCCCTGCGGAACACGCGCAACTCATGCTAACTTCTAAGCCAAACTGCTTACACCTAGCACCTCTGATACAATTACTACGCGCCGAATAGTCTTCAGCCTTATTACCTACTAACCTCCATCAACAATCATTTAAAGCAAGTATTTTTAGCCTTATTAGCACATCATTAAACTGCCTCTCAGAAAGGCGAGATGATTTCCCTGTGCTAGCTCCCTACTTTAGCAACAGTAATCAGGCTATCTCATGTGAACCACTAAACCCTTCCATACCCCAGGGATATGTGTCACATAAATACAATGAAATTTCAATTTAAGACTATGTTTAAACTTCTCTACTTGTTTCCTTGAGTTTTTCACAAACCTCACTATAGATCAAATAAGGTTAGTATTACTGATCCATGGCTTTGGTTTTGAGGTAAACATGACAGAAGTAACCTTCTAAAAAGTCACCACTACAATCTAAGAATAAATTCGCACTTGTAATCCGCATACCTGATTCTCCATTTCTGGCAAAGCAGAGCTATTCATCTGTTCTCCCTTTTTGCCTTTCAACAACCGATTGAGGTCCTGATAAATGTCTTTTGTAGAAAATTCAGCTTTTTTCCTTTCTGTGATCAGAATTCCTCCTCTCTGAATAACCTATTTTACAGGAAATATTTTAAATTACTAGGAGAAAAGCAATGAGAAAAGGGAAATTATAACACTGACATACAGTGATAGCAGTTTTACAGATTATTAACACACACCTAGTTTTTTGCACAATGTGCCAAGACACTGAAAACATTACTTAACATATTTTTTAGATCTATAAATAAATTTTAATGGAAATTTAAGGTTGTATAGACATAAAGCTTTCAAAATCAGTCCCTATAGTTAAAAACTGAACAGAATATTACTTGTGGAACACTGCATTAAGTCTATACCAAAAATCCTCACCATAGATTTGCTAACTCCTACCAGTTCTTACGGAATCTGGAGCCCACCAAAAGAAAAGAATCCTTGGGAGATACAACATCCCTTAAGAAATATCTGAATAATAGGCCAGGTGCCGGTGGCTCACACCTACAATCTTACTACTGGGGAGGAAGCAATCAGGTGGATCAAGGTTTAAAACCAGGCCAGGCAAATAGTTCAAGACTCTATCTCAAAAACACCCAACACAAAAAAGGGCTGGCTTAAGGGGTTAAGAGCCCTTTTAGCAAGATACCCTGAGTTCAAATCCCAGTACTAACCAAAGAAAAGGAGAGAAAAAAATATCTAAATAATAAACCTTGTGCTACAAATGGTACAAACATAATTTGGTTAACATAAAAAGAAACTGATTAAGTAAGAAGAGGCTAAGCTGATGCAGTGGCTCAAGTGGTAGAGTACCTGCCTAACAACCATGAAGCCCTGAATTCAAACCCTGTACCACCAAAAAAAAAAAAGTAAGAACAGGCTACAAGCTCCACTCGAATGATCAAAAAAAAAAAAAAAAATCCTAGGTCTGGGACTGTCACTTAGTGATAGAGTACGTGCTTAGCAAGCTACAGACCCTGGGTTAGATCTACAGCACCACCAAAAAAAAAAAAAGAAAAATCCTAAAGAACTACACGTTATTTATCATTAAATACAGTAATACTTACTATAATTATTCTTTTGGAATGAAGGACAGCAGAAAGGAAAGGAGGAAGACAAAGAGGAGAAAAGATATAAGGTAGAACAGTCTTACAAAAGAAATAGCTAGTTATGATGCCCTCTTAAGCACATTAATTTCTTTCAAAGACAAAAATACTGTTCAAATTAAAACATTATTTTAATTGGATTTTTTAAAATAACTTTTTAATTATTTTCTCCCATGAATAGAACAGCATCATGTTAAACAAAGGGTCTTTCACAGGCTTGGATTCTCCATCACTAGACTTGCTTCCCTTACCTGCCTCAGTTTTCCCATGTCACCAGCAGTCTCTCCTCCTGGTAGAACACACTCCTTTGGTCCAATCTGAATCAGAAGAGCCTCAAGATTGGAGAACTGATCATTATCAGGGAACTCACACAGTCCCAGCTTCCTCTGTATGGAATCAACATACCCAACTCCAACCTGTCTTTGACCGTCAACTGTGGACATTTTAACACCCACAACACCAATGGAGGCTGACATATCATTGTTACCAAATAGGATGTCTTCAAACTGAGAAAGATTGCCAGGAGAAGCCTAATCAAAAATAAAGGAAAACTTTAACAAAGTTGTTCATAGTTTAAGACTTCATTAACAAATGAGAATTATCCAACCTCAATGAATTTTATTAATAAAATTTTTCTTACAAAAAATTGCCTGTCCCCACGTCCTAAATACTGTTACATTTGCTACAAAGTACCCTCCCTTCCTTTTCCAATTGTTCTCACAATAGTTTGCAGTCAGGCACCAGTGGCCCATGCCTGTAATCTTAGCTACTCGGGAGGCAGAAATCAGGAGGCTTGCAGTTTGAATTTAGTCAGGCAAACAGTTTGAAAGACCCTATCTCCAAAACCTCCAACACCTAATAGGTCTGTCAGAGTGGTTCAAGTGGTAGAGCACCTGCTTAGCAAGTGTGAAATCCTGAGTTCAAACCTCAGTATCTGCATAAAAAAATAATTTTTTTAAAAAAATGGACCATACCAGCTAACTAAATGGTTTCAAGTATCTTTACCAGTGACAGACATTATTAACATTAGGCACTTCTGGGGCCACTGATGGACCATGGTGCAGGTTGAACAATCATAATCTGAAAATCCAAAATAGAGATGCTCCGAAATCCAAAAATTTTTGAATACCATCATGGTGTCCCAAGTAGAAAATTCCACACCGTGAAACTCTGTGCACTAAAGTATTAAACAGTATATAAAATTACCATCAGGCTATGTGTATAAGATATATATGAAACATAAAAGAACTTCATGTTTAGACTTGAGTCCTATCCCAAAGACATCTAATGTATATGCAAATATTCCAAAACCAGAAACACTTATAGTCCCAAGTACTTAGATACAGGATACTCAGCCTCTATTACACAAGATACATGAACATCTCCAACAGCACAGAATTGCCAAATTAAACAACCAGCAGCTAGCAGGAGTTTGTTAATGTCTTTAGCACCATGATCATGACAATCATTTATCTCTTCATAATTCTGAATTCCTTGTAACTATGGATGGTTGATTAGAATCTGGATCAAGACTGAAATGAGAAAGGAGCAGCATCAGCTGGGCTCTAGTGGCTCACGCCTACCATCCTAGCCTCTTGGGAGGCAGAGATCAAGAGATCATAGGCCGAAGCCAGCCTGAGCAAATTGGTAATGAGTATGTAAAACTCAACACAAAAAAGAGTTGGTGGAGTGGCTTAAGTGGTAGGATGCTTACCTAGCAAGCATGAGGCCCTAAGTTCAAATCCAGTACCGCCAAAAAAAACCAAAGCATCTGATATTCAAGTGAAAAAAATATGAATTCAATCACAAATGTATTTTCACATACAAGCTTTGGATTTTCATGCACAAGTTATGTACGCCATAAAAAAAACTGGAGCTGGAATGTAACTCAGTGGCAGGGTACCTGCCTAGCATATACAAGGCACTGGCCTCAATCTATAGCACCACAAAAAAAAAAAAAGCAAAAAGATACTCCAATGTGAACGAGTAGGTAATAAAATTAGGTTTTTTTGCTTTTGTTTTTTTTTTGTGGGACTGTGGTTTGAACTCAAGGTTTAGAACTTGCAAAGCAGATGTGCTACCGCTTCAGCCACACCTCCAGTCCATTTTGCTCTGGTTATTTTGAAGATGTGGGTCTCCCAAACTATTTGCCTGGGGCTGGCCTTGAAGTGAGATTCTCCAGATCTCAGCCTCCCAGGTAACTAGGATTACAGGCCGGAGCAACCACCCAGCTTATAATTAGGTTCTTGAGGGTTCTTGAAAATGTAAGGCTGATAAATCTCTGTGATAGATGCTATCTAAAGTCCTTTCCTAGTCTGAACATACCACTCAGAACATGGAAAAGAAATCAATCATAAAGATCAAAACGCCTGGGTTAGTGGCACATGCCTATAATCCTAGATACTAAGGAGGCAGAGGCACAAGGATCCTGAATTTGAGGCAAAGTTAAGGAGAGCCTACCTCAAGAGCAAAACACAAACGAAAGAGCTGGAGGTGTGGATCATGTAGGAGAGTGCTTGTCTAGCATGTGCAAGGCCTTGGGTTCAATTCCCAGTATAACAAGTAAGTTATTTGTTTACATACATACATACATGTTGACTGCTTCAAATATCACTAACATTTTCTAATAAAATCAGTAAGTTAATAAAAGCAGAGACAAATTAGCTTTAATAATTTTAGGTCTGAACTTAAAACGTTAGGATGGAAACACAGTCTTTTTAATTTGGTAAAGATATATGGGAGTTAAAAAGAATTCATCTTGAAAATGGGACATAAAGAAGTGAAGTGTGAGTGGCTGATAATCATGATAACCACTTGAACTTGTGATCCCACATTTTGTTATTACTTAATAAATTCTCTAGGACAGAAGTCAACGGATGGTACATGCCTATAATCCCTGCACTGGAGAGACTGAGGTGGGAGGATCATGAGTTTGAGGCCAGCGTGAGCCAAAGAATAAGTTCCAGACCCACGTGAGACCCTGGCAAGAAAAAAAGAAAAAAAAAAAGGATGGGATAGAAAATGTCTCTTTAAACTGACCATGGTAGTACATGCCTATAATCCCTGGATTAGGAGTCGGGGGCAAGAGAATTCCAAGTTTAAGGCCAGCCTGGGCTACATAGGAAGATCCTCTCAAAACAAAATGAAACCTTCCCCTTCAGGCTGGGGATATAGCTCAGTTAGAGGACTTGCCGAGCATGCACACCCAAGGTTGTATTCCCAGCACTACCCTAAAAAAAAAAAAAGAGAGAGAGGAGGGAAAACATTTCTTTGTAATATCCTCAATTTTCTGTTAAAATCTTTCAAGACAGGCTAAAAATCTAAGTCCCACTTTTCTCGGTATAGTAGCAATAAAAATCCCTAGGACTGAAGGTAGGATGCTGAATTCTCCACATATAATCCACAGTAAATGTATGCATTTACGAGGGGCATGGGGGAATATTGGAAGCAGCTCCGTCAAATGTTTAAATAGTACATTAAACCTCACCAAGAACAAAAACAAACACAGGACTTCAGAAAGCATCTTAAAAACCTTCTAAGGGAGGCAAGATGGCACATGCCTGTGGCCCCAGCACTCGGGAGGCTTAGGAATTAGAGGCCAGCCTGCAACATGATGATGACAATCCTGCCTCTAAAAACATTCACAACTTCCTAATTTCACCATTTATGGAAAAAGGATTTAAAAGGCTAGATTTGCCAAGGTCACCCACCAGGGAGAGAAGAGAAGTCTGCTCACTGTAAGCCCAGAGCACTGTCCCCTAACCCTTCATCCCATTTTAAGAATAATTCTCACTTCCCCAACATCTTAGTCATTAATTTAGTTCAACATTTATTGAGAACTTACTCTATACAGATATGGGGTGTGTGTGTGTGTGTGTATGTGTGAATAAACAAAAACATGACCTTATGACTAATAAGAAAAAAGCCATTAACTAAATGAAACAAAAATCAGTAGCACTGTTATCTCCTTGAGGGTATCGTCAAGCATGTGCACCAGAGTGTCTTCCAGGCACGCTGAGGAATATAATTACCATCAACAATGTTTCAGGGCTCAAGTGAGTACCTGCCTAGCAAGTGTGAGACCCTGGGTTGAAACTCCAGTACAACCAACAAAAAAAAAGTTTCAGGCTTACATAAGTTTACACCTAATGGGAAAGGTATGTACAAAGACAAACATGACAAATGTGTATAAATGAAATATCTGGACAGTATCAACTTCTTGATATACTTGGGAGTGCATGTCTGTAATCCCCAGGTAAAAAGTAAGAGGATTTGAGTACCAGGCAGTGAAATCAAGTCTCGAAAAAAAAGTAAAATGAAGCCAGGCATGGTGGCTCACTCCTATAATCCCAACTACTCAAGTGGCAGAGATCAGGCAAAAGCCAGCCAGGGGAAATAGTTCACAAAACTTCACCTTAAAAATATCCAGTACAAAAAAGGGCTGGCAGAGTGGCTCAAGTGATAGTAGCATCTGCCTAGCAAGTATGAGGTTCTGAGTTCAAACTCCATACCACCAAACAAGTAAGGTAAATGAGATCCTAGTTTAAGAATAGTATTTTATTCCAGGTTATTATCCACAGTCATGTCTTAGGAAGTGACAAGGCCTCAGAGTGTTCAAAATCATGGAGGACCTAATGGAGTTGTAAATTCTAAGTTACAGCTATTTGAACTGTAACTTTTATCACAATATGGCCAAGTCATGAGGTTCTTGAGTTCAAACTCCATACCACCAAACAAGTAAGGTTAAATGAGATCTAGTTAAGAATAGTATTTTATGTCCAGGTTATTATCCAACAGTCATGTCTTAGGAAGTGACAAGGCTCAGAGTGTTCAAATTCATGGAGGACCTAATGGAGTTTGTTAAATTCTAAGTTACAGCTATTGAACTGTAACTTTTATCACAATATGGCCAAAGTATGAAAACATACAGTTGAAATTTTTTGCTTTTCTCATGTCCTAAAACAAATATGTAAATTTAAAAGAAAAAGAAGAAAGGTTACTCAGTGGCAGAGCACTTGCTCACCACTTAGAGAGATGAATTCCAGCACCAAACCCAACAAAGAAAAGAAAAAACAAATTCTATTTAGCCAGGCCCCTGGTGGCACACACATAACCACAAAACTGGGTAAGAGATTGAAAAAGTCAAGACCAACGACTCAAATAGCAAGACCTTTATCTCCAAAACAACCAACAAAGAAAAGAAAAAATAATTACCTTAAAATGCCAATACCAATCGTTCTCCTTGGTGCCTTATTTCAGCTCTAATTCCTTAAACACTTCAACTCTATACCTGACGAATCCAGAAGAAGATCTTTTACAAAAAGAACTCAAAGTCATTTTAACTGAGCAACAACACTCTGCAGAGTCTTTGCTCCTAAAAAAAGAAAAAATTGTTAAATTTTGTCTTATAGAACAACTATGGGGCTGGAAATGTGGGCTTGGTGGTAGAGCCTAGCCCAACCCTGGGCTTGATCCCCAGCACCACAAAATTAACTCATTAATTAAATTTTAAAAATCACAAGGTGAGCCGGGCGCCGGTGGCTCACGCCTGTAATCCTAGCTACTCAGGAGGCAGAGATCAGGAGGATTGCAGTTCGAAGCCAACCCAGGCAATTAATTCTTCGAGGACTCTATCTGGAAAATACCTAACACAAAAAAGGGCTGGTGGAGTGGCTCAAGGTGTAGGCCCTGAGTTCAAACCCCAGTACCCCCCCAAAAAAATCACACAAGGTAGCAGAGTGGCAAGAATATGTACTCTAGCTACTTGGAGGCTGAGGGAGGAGGACTGCTTGAGAGCAGAAGTTGGGGCATGGTAGCCCACACCTGTAATTCCAGCACTCAGGAAGCTGAGGTAGGAGGTCTTGATACATAGCAAATTCCAGACCAGCCCGTGCTATACTGTGAAAGTCTTTCTCAAAAACACAAAATGCAGGGCTGGGTAGATGGCTCAAGTGACAGAGTGTCTGCCTGGCAAGTAAAAAGGCCCTGAGTTCAAACTCCAGTGCCACAAAAAATAAAAATAAAGGGCCAGGCATGGTAGTACATGCTGTGGTCCAACTACTCAGGAATAGGCAAAGTTGGCACAAGATCCTTTCTGAAGCTGGGCACTGGTGGTTCACACCTGTAATCCTAGCTACTCAGGGCTAGTGGAGTGCTCAAGGTGTAGGCCAAGGTCAAAGCCCAGTACCGCATAAAAAAAAAAGCCCTATCTGAAAAACAAACTAAAAAACAAAAGGCAATGCCTACAATCCTAGCTACCTGGGAGGCTGAGATTGGGATAATCACTGTTTGAAGCTGGAAATGTGGCTCAAGTAGTAGAGCGCCTGTTTTAAGAGAGAGTTCTTCCAATGCAGCCTGGACTATGAAATGAGACCCGCTCAAAAAACCAAACAACAAAAGGTGCCGGGGTATGACTCAAGTAGTAGAGCACTAGGCAAAAATGAGGGCCTGAGTTTAACCCCCAGAACATTAAAAAAAAAAAAAACACCAGCCAGGCACAGGTGGCTCACACCTATAATCCTAGTTACTCATAAAGCAGAGATCAGGAGGATTGCAGTTCGAAACCGGCCTGGGCAAATAGCTTGGGAGACTCTTATCTCAGAAAAAAAAAAAAAGATCACAAAAAAGGCTGTTAGAGTAACTCAAGGTGTAGGCCCTGAGTTCAAGCCCCAGTACCGGAAAAAAAAATACCTCCATAGTTGCAGGTCTATACACTTGTATAAAATGATTTTTTTTTCCCAAAAGGTCCATGAAAATTAATTATTCAGGACTAGGGATACAGCACAGTATTAGAGCACTTGTCTAGCATGTGAAGCCCTGGGTTGACCCTCAGCAACACCCCTACAAAAAGTCATCCATTCCACAGCTTGAAATTCAAACATTAAACAAAGTACAGCAGTTTCTCTCAGCACTGTCCCCTATGTAGCCACTTTACCAACCTCATCAGTTTCTGGACTGGAGGCGTAGCTCAAGTAGTAGAGAGCCTGCTTTGCAAGTGAGAAGTCCTGAGTTCAAACCCCAGTCCCCCCCCAAAAAAAAAAAAGTTTAGAGCATGTATTCCAAACATACTCTGTTCCACACAGGCAAATACAGTCTATTTTCCTCTTCCATAAAGCTGCACACTACACATACTGTTCTGTATCACATTTTTAAACTTTTTTGGAGATTATTCCAACAGTATATAGCTTGACTCTTTGTTTATAGCTACAAACATTCCAGTGACTATAAGGATGCTCTAAACATAACTAGTTCCTACTGAAGGTTATACACGCTGTTATGGCCTTTTGCTATTACAGTGCTCCAGTGTCCCAGTGTGTAAGTATATCTGTAAAATAAAGTTCTAAAACTGGATTGTATTAAAGGACATTTGTCATTGTAAGAAATACTGAAGACTAGCATACTTGGTTATGAGTATATCTATTACTCCTATACAATCAACAAAGTTTTCAAACTTCCTGGTGTTAATCTTAGATCACTGATTCTCAACTTGGGCCTCTGCTTCTCGGGCACCTGGCAATTTCTAGAGACATGTGGGTTGTCACAAAGGGGAACAGTGGATACTAGTGGATCTAGTGTCAAGCATGCACAGTACAGAATTAACAGTGCCATCAAAGAACACCTCTTAGATGGAAAATTAAGTGCTTTTGCTTAGTTCTGACCTGCAAATACCAATTGCTTTATAAAATAAATAAAACCACTCACACCATCAACTGGAATCAAAAACCAATGTTCATGTAATATAAATACTTAAAGAATGTACTTATAGGGCTGGGAGTAGAGTTCAGCTTGGGGGGAAGAGCACTTTCCTAATATGCGCAAAGTCCTTGGTTCAATCCCCAACCCTGCAGAGATATAAATACACAGGCTGGGGATATGGCTCAGTGACAAACACTTGTCCAGCATGCATGAGGGTGGATCCATAGCACCACACACCAAAAAGTATGTATATTATACACACACATACTTGAAGATTACCCTGATAATTTCTGAATCTTAAATGATGTAAGATTTATACTGAGCATTTGGACATAGTTCATACTTCAGTATCAAATCATTAGTCAGTCTCCCGTCAGCAGACAACCAAATACTGGCTCAAATCTGGATCTCTAGATTAGTCAGTAATAATCTTATGCAGGACTGGCAAATCACAGCATCTAGAGGCAAGGCAAGTAGCAAATGAGCAAAGGCCAAAGATAAAAATTACAGATCTAGTCGGGTGCCTGCAATGCTAGCTACTTGAGAGGCTGACATCAGGAGGATCAAAGTTCAAAGCCAGCCTGGGCAAATAGTTCCCAAGACCCTATCTTCAAAATAACCGTAGCAAAATGGACTGGAAGTGTGGCTCATGTGGTAGAACACCTGCTCAGCAAGCAGGAATCCCAGGGTTCAAACCCCAGAACCACCAAAAAAAAAAAATGATAAGATGGCAAATGGCTAAAATAGAGACTACATGGAATGATGAGACTTGTGACAAAATGAGAAAGTAAGACTCTGGACTCACAAGTTCAGAGGCAGCAGCTACTCAGTATCAACCAAATAAACTATAGGAAGGAATACTTTTGCCCAGAGTCCCCAATTTAGCAGACTTTTCAGAAACTCAAAATCTGAATTTTTCATGAAATCTCCCAATTTTCAAGTATAGACAACTAATTCAACTCTTACCACCACATTTTTCAGGCTGTCAGGGTAGCTCAAGTGGTAGAGCACCTGCCTAGCAAGTGTGAAGCAAAGTTCAAACCCCAATAACCATCCAAAAAAAAAAAAAAAAAAAAACCCACACTTTTCAGGCCACTAGACTTTAACTCAGTAAGTTCAACAAAATCTTATTTTTTACAGAGTTGAACAGACCACTGTTTCTTTAATATACATTTAGATAGCAAGTTTCGGGCTTGCTGAGTGGCTCAAGTGGTGAGTCCCTAAATTCAGTACTGCCAAAAAACCCAAGTTTCAGATGAGTTAAAAATGTTTGCTCTAGACTCCCATTCAGCAAGGCCTGGCTAGGCTGCAGCAGACTTACCACTCGCTTTAAGATCAGAACCTCAAGGAGAATGTCAGGTTCCATTTAAATTAGTTCCCAGTTTTGCTTCTAATGTGAGGTAGCCCAAGCATCCGGGTTTGCCCAAGCCTTTCCCAGTGTTAGTACTGAAAGCTCCGTGACTCAGGGAGCCCTTCAGCCCCAAGCAAAGCAAATGATTGGTTATACTATTAGCCTATCTAGCTAAATCCCACATAAATTATATTATGCATATGATGAAACATCATTTAAAAAAAAATCAAAACTTAGTCAAGGAAATCACTGCACCAGAGCTAATACAAACCCAGAGAAAATTTCTCCTCCCAGAGACACTCATAAATGCCATTAGCCATTATGAATATTAAAAGCAGTTTCTACAGCCAGCAGTGGATTAAGTGGTAGAGCGCCTGCCTAGCAAGCATGAGGCCGAGATCAAAATCCAGTACTGCCACCACCAAAAAAAAAACCAGTTTCTATATCATCCCTCAATTTAAAATGCAAAACACAAAGTCCAACTCACCAAAAGTGAGAGAAAGAAACATTGGTCTACCTTGTATCACTCCAGGAGGAGAGGAGGATGTGCAAGCAGAATTGTCTGGTCAGTACAGGATTTTGGGTTTTTTGTTTGTTTGTAAGCATTTGCAGAGGAACAAGCCTTCTCAGATTCCTAAGTCTCTCTACTCTTACACCTGATTGACCTGATTACTTTTCACATCAATTTTATCCGCCTGTCACTGGACAGAAGGACCCAGACAAATGGTTCTGTCTTTTTACTAACACATTCAACAGAACTCTAGTTAAGAACTATGGTGATTTTTGTTGTTGTTGTTGTGGTTATGAACATAAGGAGAGGAGTCCCTTCCAACCTGGGCCTTCCCTAAGCCCATTAGGAATACGTGGGCCACTCAGTCTTCAAGCTGGAGTGGTGTCCTCCTGTAATCACAGCACTGCAGAGGCAGGAGGTTTGCCAGTTCAAGGCCAGCCTGAACTACCTACTGAACCCTTGTCTCAAAAAAAGTTATCCTCCAAAGATAATATTCTCAAAGGAGTTTGTGTGACACACACTGAGTGGCAGTGCAGTTAGTCTACGTTCTTAACGATCCTAGCTGTAGGCTTGAAGTTAGACTAGCTGGGGAATAGGATTTCCATCTCCTGGTGTAAATAGGGTACCGGAATTGAAAGCTACTCGCCTCCACCTGGAAGGAATATCACGTTAGTGTAAGATGCTTTTGAGAGCTGGGTGCTGGTGGCTCGCGCCTGTAATCCTAGCTACTCAGGAGGCAGAGACCTGGAGAACCGTGGTTCGAAGCCAGCCCGGCAAATAGTTGCGCGAGACCCTATCTTGAAAAAAATCCTTCACAAAAAAGGGCTGGTGGAGTGGCTCAAGGTGTAGGCCGAGTTCAAGCCTCAGTACGGCAAACAAAAAGAAAGAAAGAAAGAAAGAAAAATGCTTTCGAGAATAATAATTTAGAGCCCCCATCTCCATTCAACTGTGCCTGGTGCAGGGGTTTAGAAAACCGGGGCTGGGGGAGTGACTCAAGAGGTAGGGCGTCTGCCTAGCAAGCGCGAGGTCCTGGGTTCAAACCCCAATATAGCCCAAAAAAAAAAAAAAAAATCTGAGTGATGTAAGTGATGAACCAGGGCAATCCCAGCACTCGGGAGGCGGAGGCAGAAGGATCGCAAGTTCCAGGCCAGCCTGGCTACATGTCTCAAAAACAAACAAGAAATCAGAGACTTGGCGATGTCTGTAATGAGATCCACAGGGCCAAGGCGAGCTCTGCAAGGCTGCTTTAAGATGAACCACAACGCGTGCTGGTTCCGAGTTCGGGCGCAGGAACCGCAGGAAGCGGAATTCTCACGACACCAACGTCCGCGCCCCCCCGGGACTCGGAGCTTCCCGAGAGGCAATGGCGGGGCGCACAGGCCTCGCATCCCGCTCTCCCCATCCTCACCTGCCGGCCCCATGTACTTGATCACGCCTTGGGTCTTGAACACCTCGCGGGCGGCCAGCAGCGCGTCCTCGCCGTGCGCCGTGTAGAAGTCGCCCCGGTCGAATAAGCGCACCGTGGTAGTCGGTTTCTCTGGCATGCCCTCGAAGAAGCGCACGAAGCCGACCTCGGCCGGGCCCTCCAGCTGCAGCGTCTCCTTCGGCTGCACCGCCATTTCGGAACCGCTCCACAGTCCAGATAGGAGAAACGCGCGGCCCGGTACCCACTAGGCTATTTCCCGCCTCCCCTCCTCCGCCCCTGGCCGCGTCCGGCCTCTGAAGACACATCCAATCAGCATCCAACGTTGAGCTCTGGTGGGCGGGAGTCCGCCGCGACAACCAGTCATGAGCGGACAAGGCCTAGCTTCCCGCGCACGCTGGGGTCTCTGTCTACTGCGCATGCTTGCGGCTCGGTCGCGCGCTGACCGGTACATGCGCATCCTTAAAATAGTTCAGGGTTTTCCTGGCGGCAAGGCTTCCATTTCAGGTGGGCGGACTGTTGAGTAGGCGGGAATCTGGTGGGAGATTACCTGCAGGTATAGATATTTTTAAGTGCCCGGAGGCAAGGAAATGAAATCACAAAGAAAGTTACAACGAAGAATAACTTGCCTTTCTATCGCAGTCTAGCTTTTAAACTTGTTTTTCTCTCCAAATGTCACCTTTTTCATTTTTAAGCAACCAGATAGTATTCAAGATTTCAGGTTTATTCTCCACAGGCCTCCCTGTTAGTCGAATTTTTTGTTTCGTCCACGCTTTGATTTAATTCATTCAAAAACATATTTCTTGCCTAGCATATGTGAGATCCTGGGTTTAATTCTTATCACACACACAAAAAAAGGAAGACTTCTGTGACCTGCTATCTATGTGCCATATTGCTCTTGGCTCTGAGGATTTCAAAGAGAAAAATCACAGCCTTTGTTCTACTTACATTCTAATGAATAGATTCAGATAATACAGTGGATAACTGAAATAAAGCCATAGAAGATAAGTGGGTTCGATGTATATATAAATACAGAGACAGGCCAGGATTCTTCTGCTGACTTAGGTAACTCCCAGAGGAAAGGTATCGATTACAGGCTCCCATTTGGGTCACCCTTGCCCCAAGAAGGTGAGTTGTAACTTCTGGAGGAAGGGGGCCTTCCAATTCTTTTAAAAAGCTTCCTGAGTATTCCTCACAGCTCAATTTAGAAATTACTGGCTTGCAAGCTGAAACCCAAATGACTTGGAGAAGTTTGGACAGTCTTCACTGGGACATCAGCAGCATGGCAGCACTCCCTGTAATATAGGGGCCTTGACCTTCCCTTCCCTTAAGATTTATGGTTTCTGCTGAATACTTGACCTTTAGATCTGGAATGGCCCTCCCTGTGCTTTGTATTGCAAACAAAGTTTAATTGTCTCCTCTGGAAAGCCTGCCCAGTTTCCTGGGGTATAAAGAGTAGCTTTTTTTTTTTTCCTCCCTGCTTCCCCCCCACCCCCCCAATGACTTTTGAACCCAGGGCCTACACCTTGAGCCACTCCTTCAGCCCTTTTTCATGATGGGTGTTTTTTGAGATAGGATCTCATGAACTACTTTTCCCTAACGCTTCCAACTGAAATCCTGCTGATCTCTGCCTCCTGAGTAGCTAGGATGACAGGTGTGAGCCACCAATACCCAGCTGCATTTTCTTTTGAGGTCCCACCTTATCCTTGTATCTCTGATCCAGTACTTACCACTTTGTTTTAGGAATATTTTCTGTTCAAACTGTAGGAGTGACTGAAGCGGTACAGCGCCCTCCTTCTGATACACAGGTGACACGCAGGAATTTTGGGGTGTTCAGGGTTCTTGGGTCCTCTCTGGAATTGAAAGCAGAGGCAGACTCGCGCAGCAGAGGTCAGAAAGATTTTATTTGTAGAGAAGAGGAGAGAAAGGCTGCATGGGGGCCTGCAGCAGGACCCAGAAACCAGTGGTCCCATGGGTCAGGTTGGAAATTGGGTTTTATAGCCTTTTTGTATTGCCCAAGGGCAGAGATGTCTCTCAGGTGCAAACAGATATTTCCTGGGAAAGAGAAGTGTCTCCTTGGCCAATTATCACCTTTGGGACCTCCTGCAGTCCGTCCTTCAAGTCCCCCCTCTCAATGATCGCCCTAACTGCTATTAGGGATAGGGACTATGAAGTCCATTCAATGACTGCTTCCTGCTGATGGGGTGATGAAAGGGCCTACAGCATCAGGGCTGACCATGTGGGGTTATCAAGGGGATCACGATGATAGGTCATCTTCATTTCCATCAGGGGCATCTGTAGTTTGATGGATTCTAGGTGAGAGGAAACAAACTTGACAAGTAAGTTTGAAATGCAAGACCCAAACACAAGTAAGAGAATAATGGCAACTATAGACCCCAGAAAGGGGAAGCACCAAGTCCTGGAGGGGAGCCAGGATTTTATTTGGTCTGATACCTGTGTAGAAACCTGAGTTTCAAGGGACTGTTCCCAGAGTCACTTAGCCTGTTGGAGAATGTTGTCTGCACATTCCTCTACGGTGCCTAAAGTATTTATATATGTGCAACAGGAAGTATTGGCAATGGCACATACCCTCCCTTGTTTGTTTAGACAAACTCTCTGGGGGAAGAGGAGTCCCCTCCCAGAGGAGAGGGCCAGCTATATATTCCTGCATGGCTGCCCATTTAGCTACTTCCTCAGCTGCTTTGTTTCCCTTTTTGGTAACCTATACAATGAATCACCAAGACCTCTTTATAGAATAGAACAGGATCTAGGAGGGCTAGTATATGTCATGAGCATGTCTAATGGGAGATCCCAGCATTCCCCTTTCCTTCCATATGGCTGCATGTGCATGCAGGATCAGGAAGGCATACTTAGAATCTGTACAGATGTTGACTCTGTTCTTTTGACAGTTTTAGGGCTTCTGTTAGGGCCACTAATTCTGCCAATTGAGCTCTTATATTAGGAGGAAGAGGACCTGATTTGAGGATGCCAAATTCTGTTACAACTGCAAACCCTGCATGTCTGACACCATTCTTGAAAAGGAACTGCCGTCAGTGTATAATTCTAGATCTGGGCTTTTTAAGGGCTGATCAGTTAAGTCAGGTCGGGCAGCATAATTCTCCATAAGTACCTCCTCACCTGTCTTTCTACTAAACATCTGGAAGGGACATGGATACTTTATTTATTCATAGTATTAACATTAGCTAACATTTCTCAACATTTAGTAGTTGTCAGGTATTTAAATTTTTACATACGATGACTATTTTGGGACATTATCCTTTTTTTTTGGTGGTAGTAGTACTACCACCAAAAAACTGAACTCAAGACTTCACACTTGCTAGGCAGGTGCTCTATTGTTTGACCCACACCTCCAGCCCTTTTTGCTTTGAGTGTTTTGGAGATAGGATCTTGATTTTTGTCCAGGCCACTCTGGCCTAAACCATGATCCTCCTGTTTTAGGTTTCCTGATGTTACTAGGATGACAGGTGCATCCCACTGTATCCAGCTATTGATATTGAGATGAAGGTTTGTGAACTATTTACCTGGGCCGGACTTGAACAGAATCCCTATCTCAGCCTCCCAAGTAAAGGATTAAAGGTATGAGCCACTCATTATGGTTTCTGGTAGACTTTAATGGGCGTAAAGTGGAGAATTCATCTAGCTGGCTGTTAGCCTTGGTGGAAAACATTGACCTTTACCCAGATTTAGGAGATAGCTGATGATTCCAGACATTCTTTACTTTGTCCAGACTAATAACAATGACCCTAACTTGCTTTTTCCTGCAAAATGTCTGAACAGAAATCTGTGGCCTGCTTAGAGACCAGCTTGAAATCAATTTGATTTGTGTTTGTATTCATTTTGTCTGAGAGGTTATTTTAACAGTATCTTTTCCCCCATCCATATGCACATATTAACTGTTAGTAATAAATTCTTATGTAAAGTTTTCAAATTTCTGACCCCAAACTGGGTCCTTTTTCCTTCTCAGAATTGTGGAACCAGTAACAAGACAAAGTGCCAATTGAATATCCAAGGACACTTACATGCTTGTCCAAGACTAGAAATGGAGTAAACCCCTAAGCCAACTTCTCCACTCATTGTGGGTTTGTAATGGGGGCTTAACCCCTTTACAAATCTTGTTGAAGAGCATTGACCCTTTACTTGGGCCCAGGAATTAACTAAAGGCAAGAAACAGATGATTACAATGCCTCTTTTCCACAGAAATGGAAGGAATAAATAGACAGTGGGGAAAATGTAACTGGGACTACAAAAGGAAAAAAAACTTTTGTATAGCCAGCTTGCATGCTCGACAGTTTACTTATTAATTAAACTGACATCTTTCCCCGCTTTGTCCACATGCTGGAGAGCCAAGGTTAACTCCCTTTGCTCTTCAGTTACACTATGCAGTCTTCTACTCCTTTTCTCTCTCTGACCTCCAGAGCAGTAAACCTGCCAGCAAGACAGATTCAAAGAAGTGGTGCCACACACCTAGAGAATCAAGGCCAATGACCATGGTGAACATGGATCTGGTCATGCAGTCACACTGAGCCTCTGAACTCAGTCCACCCTTTGAAAGGAGGACATTTTCTCTCAGAAGGGGGAAAGACAGTGCTTTGAGAGATTGACTTTCCCCGTCCTTCTCTTCGTCTGATGAATAATAAACCTTATTTCCTTTTCCTCAAAACCCTTCTCTCTTTATTTGTAGATTGTGAATTGGCATTGAGGCCAGGGGACCAGTTTTTGGATTACAGATTGGAAGATTATAGATACAAGGAAAAAGAAATGAGAGGGAGAGGTAGTAAAGGGGAGAAGGATATTCATGTATTTTCTGGGAATGGGCAGATATTCTGAGAATTTGGGCACTGCTTCTTTTTGTTTCTTCTATGGTTCTTTCTGGTTGTAATCATGCCAATTGTCAAATGTCATGGTGCCTGAGGTATGAGTCATTTCACATGTAGATGAAATAATAATGAAGTTAGAGGTTATTTCATGGTCACTCTAGGAGTCACCTTAAAGCATACCAGTTTCTGGTAGTGCACTTGAAGAGGGACTTCTAGCCTATAGACATCCTGTCTTCAAACATAAGAGTAGGATGGGGGTAGAAATTCAGCTAGATCGTTGTAGGCAGTATAAGATTAGGGCAGGGCAACACAGTTAGGTCAAATAGTTGTGTCTTGCTGAAATTTCACGTACTTTCTAGTCTCACATTGGCAACTGTAAATTTCTTTAAAAAAAAAAAACTGGGAAGGGACTAGGAGTATAGCTCAGTGGTAGAGTGATTACCTATTGCACATGAAATTCTGGGTTCAAGACCTATCACCAAAAGAAAAAAACATAAAAGTGGTTTGATCAATTTTAGCTATAATTTTGGGGAAAGTTGGGGGAATTGTGGTGTTTGGGCAAGGGAGAGAATCCATTGTTAGCAAAGAGATCAGTGAAAACATTTAAGACAAGACACATTGGAAGAGCATTATTTCTGAGGGAGAATGACAGGGTCTGGTGACTAAAAGAATGGATGTGAGAGAGAAAGGCATTTGGGACTTGGTTCATGGTAAAGCCCATTAACTGAGAATATGAGAGATGAAATGGCGCAGCGGATGTAGCGGATGCATGTACTTGTCTAATGTGCATAAGCCTGGGGTTCAATCCCCAGCACTGTAGAGATAGAGAGATGAAATGTTTGTGGCAGAGGATGATGAGATCATTGAAGGCTGTTACATGAAACATAGTTGAGAACTCACGATGAAGGACAGAAATGGAGATTGTGGCCAGGCACCGGGGGCTCACGCCTGTAATCTTAGGGGCTCAGGAGGAGGAGATCAGGAGGATCGTGGTTTGAAGCCAGCCTGAGCAAATAGTTCATGAAACCCTATCTCAAAAAACTCATCACAAAAAAGGGCTGGTGGAGTGACTCAAGGTGTAGGCCCTGAGTTCAAACCCCAGTACTGCAAAAAAAAAAAAAAAAAAAGAAAAAAAGAAATGGAGATGGTGCTTCTCCTAGTGTCTAGGCTTAGATGGCAACTAAAGGGATGTATGAAATCCTCCAGGAGGAAAAACAGAAGGAAGAACAATTCCTGGAAACGACAATATATCAGAGTCAGTAGAAGAGGAAAATAACCAGGAGAGACTAAGGAAGATAATGTATGGGGAAAATGCTACAGCAGTTATCACAGTGATAGGCTGGGGAGAGAATTCATTGGCAATTTAGTAGGTCAGTGTTGCCCTTAGCAAGAAGGCAATGGGTTGAAGGATGTACCAGTTGTGATTCATTGCCTCTTCTCAATTCACCTTTTTCACTTGCTCTGTGAAAGTGGATCCGATGCTCTGCCAGCAGAGGGCACCAGAGAGACACTGAAAGAGGAAAGGGTTGTTCTAGTTCTGACTGCAGGCTGCTGCAGTGCTCAGGAATGTCCCTCCATCTGGTTCTTGCAATATGGGTGGCTTCTCCAGCACCCTGCTGCAAGTGCAGCAGACACAACCCAGCAGCTTTCCTGAGGTGTCTGCCCCACATACACACACCTGCTAGGACAATTTTATAGGGTGCCTTTGGTGTCTGCCTAAACACTTCACTAAATAGCTTCCCTCCAGTACTCAGCTATCTTCCTGTCAAGGACTAGAAAGGCATCAAGTTAATCACAACTACTCAACCCTGCTGTTGTGCGCTGGTGGAGTGGCTCAAGTGGTAGAGCACCTGCCCAGCTAGCATGAGACCCTGAGTTCAAAATCCCAGTACTACAAAAAACAACAAAAACCTTTGGTCTTGTATGGCAAAACAACCACATATGTAAATGAATGAGGGCAGCTGTGCTCCAAAAACTTTACTATGAACACTAAAATTTATTTCATTATCATTTTCACATATCAGCCATCTTTGACTACTTCTAGGCTACATTAGATTGTGAATCAAATATCTGTGGCCACACCTGAAATCCTAGCTACTCAGGTGGTAGAGATCAGGAGGATGGAGGGTTCAAACTCAGCACAGGCAAATAATTCTCCAGACCTTATCTCGAAAAAAAATCACAAAAAGGGCTGGTGGAGTGGCTTAAGGTGTAGGCCACCCTGAGTTTAAATCCCAGCACTTCAAAAAAAAAAAGAGAAAATATTTCAAGATACTTTTAACTTGATAGAACTTTGCTAGGTTACTGAAAGTAAAGTATAATTGTTCATTATTTAAGATATTCATAAAGTGGTTTGTTCAACAGTGCTGTAACTAACTGTAGAATTCACAATACTCTCCAGCCTCTCCTCTTCTGTTCTGCTTCAAGGTACAAATGCTGTACCAAAATACCAATTTTTGTGTAAGACAGTCTTAAGATTCATTCATAATAAAATTATTTTTCTGTGTAGAAGTTCTGTAAGTCATATTTTTATATTATAGATATTTTTTTTTTGCAGTACTGGGCTTGTATATTTATGTGTGTATATGCACGTGGTGTGTGTACTTATGCAAAACTCTGTAATTAGCATTCACAGCGTTTTGTTTCTTGGTGCTGGGGATTGAACCCAGGGTCTCTCACATGCTAAGCACAAGCTCTTCCATTAAGCTATATCTCCAGCTCTCAAGAGTATTTTTTTAGCCTATATCTTATGTGTGTATACTAGGAAACTGGACTCAAAAAAAAGTGAGAAAATTCAGTTTTAAAATGTTTTATTTCATAAAAAAAAGGCTTTATGTACAAGACTCAAAGTAAATAGAAAGGCAGCTGTCAATCACAGATGAATGAGAGTGGTCATTCAACTCTACTGTTAGCATATTTAATGCACACTTCAATATTATGCCTAAATTAACTGTGAAGTTCAAGTTCTGGGTTTCATATTAGATCTGCATTTATAAGACACTTGTCAGATTTTAAGATTGATATTGCCAATTTCAAGCTGCTTATATTCTGAGTACAGATTTCACTATTAAAAATATACCATGTTAACTAACAAAACAGTCATCCTCCAAGAACTTCTTTTTGTCCCATGTCCATACATTTGTCATCTGAGGCCATTTGCTAACTCCCTTTTTTGTAGTTAATCTTCAAATCAGAGTAGTTATGCATTGAGCTCTCTATGTATCTCACCCATCTCCTTTATCTGAAACACAGGAAAAGTACAGAAGAAATTTTTAAGTAACTTTCAATCTTTTGTTCATTCTGAAATTAGCCTTTAAAAAACAAAGAGGAAAGCAAGGTGACTCTCACACAAGACTTATTTAAATAAAAAAAGGACAAAACTGTATTACAAACACGCATCGAGTGCATGATCAAGTATTTGGAACAAGATGGCTAAAGTGCCTAGGAGAGTAACAGTAAGCTACATCTTAAATAGGTAAGATTTCTACTAAACATGCTATTTTTACAGCTAGGAAAAACCAATTCATTTTCTATTATCAATCTTTCATAGGTCAGGAAACTGAAGTTCAGAGTTAGATGACCCTCTCCAGGTCCCAAAATGAGTTACAGGCAGAGCTGAGACACAATGACAATGACTTACTGCTGCAGGATAACTTCTCAACATGCAGCAAATACTTCGTTTAATCCTCACAAGTCTGTACTATTAGCTTCACTTTGCAGATGAGGGAAAATGGAGGCTTAAGGAAGTTATTACTACTGCCTGGATAATAAGTGGTAAAAACCAAGTCTACTTTGTTCTTAACTATAATGCTATATCGTCATTCTGACTGTAACAATTCAGTTCAGGTCAGGGGTAGTCCCCTAGACCTGTGGTCACCAAATCAGATAAGCCAGATGATCTGTTATAGAATGGGAAGAAAATATTAGGACTTTCTGGCCCCATTAGGTTTTTTCAATATTCTTTTACATTTCTATTTTTTTGTGTTATTTAAAAATATTAGTAAGTGGCACATATATAATTACAAACAAATACCTAGCTAAACCAGAATTGGTGAACATACATAAAGTTATTGACAGAATTCAGGGATACATGTCCGTATCCCGTTCCAAGTATCCAAATGCACTGGCAATCCGACTCTAATTTCACACCAGTATGTATTACTGGTTAACATGTAATAGATTTACTATGACAAATTAGGTTCATCATAAATGGTTATTATTCATGGTACAGTGACAAGAAATAAGGTCATAGGCACTCTGAGTTTCTCTGTTATGGCTCCACCAGACTATTCCTCTAAAAGATTCCCCTAAATGTTGAAAATGGTATGCTTTTCCATTCTACTCTTCCACAAAGAAGAATTCAGGATAAGGTGGTCTGCCCCATGGTAGGAAAGAGTTAGGTAAGAGCACTCTAAGAGTCCCAAAGACCCTAAGGACCATGGTGTAAAGCAAATTCAGTGTAACTGAAATCCATCAGGAGCAAAAGTACAGTGATTGCTAGAAATAAGAGATTAAACTTAGTAGGTAAGTAATTTATTTACCTCAGCCTTCTCATACTTTGTTGTTTTCTTCCTTCTAGAAATAACCTGAGTGAAAGAAAAATGATTCCTATTTAGAAACCACTACCTGAACAAAAAAGTTGGTCAAAATTAACATATATACTTTTTATGTACATAATTCTAATCTGAACAATTTAAAAATCTATCCATAAACATGTTTCTTAGATTAAAATTTCACAACTAAAAAAAAAGAAGTCTGACACAACCAGTGAAACAGACCAAAAGATGTAACAAGAAAACAATGAATAATCTTTAATGCAATGTAAGTTTGGTGTGCACCCTTATTTTTCCACATTAATACAAATGTATAAGCACATGCCTATAAACTTGGGGGTCTAAAAATGGGATCAAGTAATACCAGTTCCCTTTCTGAACCAACTGAACTCACACAAAATATCCACAGCATGGACACCTGCTATTTACCCATTCCTTGTCTTGCTAACATACACTCGGGGTGTTTTCCACATTCACCTTTACGAGCAAGACCGCAATACACAACCTTGCTTCCTTATTGTACTTGTACTTTCATTTCTGTAGGACAATTAGATTTCTATGACTTTTTAATGTGTTTGTTTGCCATGAGAAGTTCCTTCTCTATAAACCCTCTATTTATATTTGTTGCCCTTCTTTTCTTTAGGTTTTCTTATCAATCGGCAAGAATTCTCTGTAATTTATGCATAATATCCATTTTTATTTAATGTATCATGAATATTTTCCTGAGTCTATCATTTATACTTTTTACTTTACAGTATCTTTACCATACAAAATGGCAGTATTCTTTTTTTTGTTTTGTTTTGTTTTAAAACAAATGTAATACAGCCGGGCCTCAAACTCTTGATCCTTCTGCCTCAGCCTCCCAAGTGCTGAATTACAAGTGTGTACCACCATGCCCAGCTCGAAATGTTAAAATGTTTAATTTTGGCCAGGCACAGTAGAACATGCCTACAGTCCCAGCAAGACAGAAAAATCAAATGAGCCTAGGAATTCATGACCAGCCTTGGTGACCTCACCTCAAAAAAAAGAAAGAAAAAAAGCTTAATTTATATGTAGATATATATTTCTTCACTTTAGATTTCTCTTATTGCAAGATTGTATCAACATTCCCTACATTAATTTTCTTGAGAAGTTATCTTTTTTATATTTTATACAAAAATCCATCTGGAATTTGTGTTTGAACATGGGTGCATAGCCCAACTCCTTTCACATTACTGTGGCCTGCCCACCACACACAGTGGGTAACATGGCCAACTGCAGTGGGGTGAAATAGGAATTCAACTTTTCTTCAGATGGAGAATCAAGAATGGTTAACTCCACTGAACTGAAAACTAAGTTCCCACATAGCCTCAAATCTTTTTTTTTGAGACAGGCTATGTACCCCAGGCTTGCCTTGAACTTGAGATCTCCTGTCTCAACTTCCTGAGAGCTGGTGTGTGCCACCAGCTCCACTCAAGTCTATCTCTATTCTGTTGTCAACACAAGATATACTGGTTCAAGCATCTTTACTTTCCTAGAGTAAACCCAACTTCTTCAGGTGACAGTTCTTTTTAAGAACTGCTAAATTCAACTTGCTAGAGTTGCTGCTTCATAGCTACTGTGTTCTGGTGGTGGGAATGTTACTCAGTGGTACAGTGCTCATATGGCATGCTTGAGGCCCTGATTTCAATTTCCAGTCCCATAAAACAAAAACAACAACAACAAAAAGCCAGAAATATTCTGTTGTTCCATCTCACTGAATGCTTTGGGAATTCAGGTATTTTGTTCTAACCCTGGCAGGAGCACTGAATTCTTTGCAGTGGAAGGAGAACTGAAGGGTATTTGTTGCTTGCAGGCAATGTAAGTGGCCTGTGAGGTGCTCAGGTGCAAGATTTTTTCAGGTGAGTATCCTTTCTGGCTTCATAAAGTGCCTGTTTTATAAAAAGGGACCAGAAATGCAAAAGATTCATTCCCTGTAGAGAGTTGTAAAAAATAAAGATCTTGCTTCATTAATGTTTTGGAATATGGGTAGAGTTTTTTTTTTTTTTTTTAATTACCTTTTGTGTGTGTGTGTGTGTGTGTGTGGTACTGGGGCTTGAACTCAGGGCTTACACCTTCAGGGATTCCACCAGCCCTTTTTTGTGATGGGTTTTTTCCAGATAGGGTCTCAAGGACTGTTTGCCTAGGCTGGCTTTGAACCTCAACCCTCCTGAGTAGCTAAGATTACAGGCATGAGCCACTGGTGCCTTTTCTTTTAAGAATATATCCTTAGATGAAATTTTACTTGTGCTGTACTCACCAGCACAACAATTCCAGCAATAATCGCTACTGTCACAACCACAATAACAGCAATAATACCAGCTGTAAGGCCCTTCATTGAAAACTCAGGTGCTTTTTCATCAACATAGTAAATTTGAGTTTCACCAGGATCCAGTTCTAGTTGTTCCCATTCACTCTCAGGTCCATTTTCTTAGAAAGGAACAAGGATTCGCCTTTAATCTACATCAAAAAGAGAAAAACAAAAGCATTTAAGAAAAGCAACAATGGCCCCTATAAGTATACACCAATTATAGGCTTAAAGAACCACTGCCAAGAATTTTTATGGCTAAAAGAGAAAAAAAAGTGAATCTTTATGGCTTTAATGAAGCCATAAAGTATCATGAAGCCCATCTACCTATCATCCAGGCTCAGACAAACAAACACATTGCCAATTTGACTTCCACTATTCTTCTTCCCATCTCTCCATCTACCAGACCACATCATTTTGATGCCAATCCCAGATTTTAGCAGAAAATACCTCACTATAATATACTGAAGTTTAAATGTACTCACGTCTTTTTCAAAATAATAAGCCACATCAGCTATGTCCACATCATTCTGAGTCTTCTGAGAAGAATTTTGCATCAGGTCAATAGTGATAACATTATTCTCATACTGGAGGAAAAATACAAATTAACAATCAAAATTATATGAAAATTACATTCAACAGCCAGAATATCCAGTGTTTGAGTTTCTGTAATCTACATGCATTAGTGTCCTTTCAATTAGTATATAATTAATAATAACTGAAAAAAATCTTTGGGAGGTTTCAATACAAACAATTACAAGTATTTTTAGAAACAAAACAGAGTTGAAACAGTAAAGAAGGGCTAACTGGGTAGTAAGGACTAATTCGTTAAACCACAAAAGACGGGAGCCAGAACAGCATCTGAAGTAGTATGTGCTAGACTGGGGCATGGTTCTAGTGGTAGAGCACCTGCTTTGCATGCAAGAAGCCATGAATTCAAACCCCAGTCCCACCAAAAACAAAAGTAATATGTGCTAAGAGCAATCACAGAGAGGTTCCCCAAAGTGAAAAGACTGGCATGTTTAAGGGCCAAACTGGGATTTTTTTTGCCGGGGCGGGGAAGGAAGGGATAAGGAGAATGAATAACAGAGAGGGCTGAACTAACCAAAGTTAAGTATATTCACAGCTAAGATACATAGAGAAACCCCTTTGAGGGCTGGCAGAATGGCTCAAGTGGTACAGCACTGGCCTAGCAAGCTCAAGGCCTTGAATTCAAACCCAGTACTGACAAAAAAAAAAAAGACAGAGAGAGAAACCCCTTTGAACATTGACTTTGGAACTAAAAATGAAAGACAGGGCTGTAAAATAGGTACAGTGTGTATGGGGAGTACTTATGGAAGAGGGAGGGGAAATGGAGGAGATGAGGGTGAGGGAATATGGTTGATGGGCTTCATATACATATATGAAATAAAATGATAAAACCTCTTGTTTGCTTTAAGTGGGGAGGCGAGGAGGTTGGGGGTAGATGGTTGGGGTAATCTAACCAATGTACAATGTAAGGCTATTCAGAATTGTCACAAAGAATCCCCCCTGTACAATGAATATATGCTAATAAAAATGAAAACAAACAAACAAGCAAAAACCTGGGGGGTTTTAAAGACTGTGGAAGGAAAACAGCAAGAATTTTACAGGTCTTAAAACTGTTACGCTAATGTATTTAGCCACTAATAAAAAAGCACTGGCTATCCTTTATACTGAAACCATACTGTCCCACCACCAACTTTCTGCTAAAGCTGATTTTAAAAAAAAAACATACCAGAATATTTGTGATAAACTTTGAATCCAGTAGGTAACGAGATGTGATCACCTCCTGAAGCGCACTGTAAATAATTAAAAATCTGTTTTAAAAAAAAACTTTGTACCACATAATAGTAGGAAGCTCTACTTTTTAAGCAGATAGTTAAAGATCTAGAGTTATTAACAAAAGTTATTAAAAATTTTATGTCATTTCACACTTAATTGGCTCAGGCTAGCATCATTCATTGATACTGTTAAGTGTCAGTTTGATTAGAAACAGAACATTTGCACAGCACCAAGGATCTGTATACAAATTATTTATTACAAAGGGAAAAATGGTAACTGTACAGTGAAGAAACCTGGTACACTCCACTTTAATCAGCTAACATGACCAGTAAAGGGACAAGATGGCACCATGGGCCTCCTGATGTGAGTACTGGGAAGGACACAAGATCACCTAAGTAGTTTTAAGAGGAAATGTCAGACAAATCCAAATCTGAAGGACATATAAAACAACATGCCCATATTACTTAAAAACACCAATCTCTTGATTTTTTTTGGGGGGGGAGGGTGGGACTGGGGTTTGAACTCAGGACTTCCTGCTTGCCAAGCAGGTTCTCTACTGGTTGAGCCATGACTCCAGTCCCCAATGTCTTGAAAGACAGAGAAAGGCCAAGAAACTGTTCCATATTAAGAGACTAAAGTAAAAGAGCGATGACAGCTAAATGTGATACACAATCTTGGATTGGGTCCTGGATCAGAGGGGAAATTTTGCTACAAAGGACAAAATGGGAAAAGTGGCACAATATGGGATTATGTTAAATATCCTGAATTTGGTCATTATACAGTGTTATAGAACAATGCCTTTTATTCTTTGAAAAATAAACTACAGCTCAGCATGGTGGGATGCTAAAGCAAGACAATCTTGAGTTTGAGGCTAGCATGGACTATTTTATAAGACTCTGCCTAAAAAAAAAAAAATAACAGAAAGGGAAGGAAGGAGGGAGGAGGAGAAGGAGGGAGGAAGGAAAAGGGAAAGTAAAGGAAGGAAAGAAAAGATACTTAAATACTTAAAAGTACTTAGGAGAAAAGGGACATGACATCTACAATTTGCTCTCCAAAGGTCCTGGAAAAATATTCATACAGGTAAACAGATACAAGGCATACACAAAAACACATATGAAAATGTAGAAAAGCTTGGCATGTAGAAAAACAGGCACAGGCCTGTTTTCCCAGCACTTGATCTTGAGTTCAGGGCCAGTTTGGGATACATAGCAAGTATGAGGCCAGCATGGGCTATGTAATGAGAACTTGTCTCAAAAAAACAAAACAACAAAAAATTTGGGAAAAAAAAAAAGTTACTTCATGAATCTGAGTGAAGGGAATATAGGAATCATTGTATTATTATTGCAAGTCTATTTCAAAAAACTATTTGACAGAAATAAGAAAAGGCATGTAGACTTAGATTTTCTAATGGTGTAGGATAGAAACTTTGAGTAGCAATTTTGCAAGAATAGGCTGCATGTAATTTCACTTACGTCTGCAAACTTTTAACATCGTAAGGTTTTTCTCTTTCTTTGTGTTTTAGTTCAATGATGATCCAGCTGCAAAGTAAAAAAGTGACACCTGTCTATGAGTCAAGTCATTCATACTGTTTCCAAATAGGCTAATACTAAAATTCCCATGTGGAAAAAAGTAGAGCTAACAGAACAAGGATTGATGTAGTAAACATGCCTTTAATTTCTTCCCTTGCTTTCATGAGTACTTCACAGAGAATCCACCCATAGGGAACAACCTTTCTAATACTGACCCTCTGGTCTCTGGCTATAACACCTAGATCATGGGAAATTAAGGCCAAGCTGGTCATGTCAGGCTCTGTTCAAGTGAAAAGACAAAAAAGGGATCAAGAGAAACAGAAAACTCATGAGGGTCCAGAAGTCAGAGCTAGAGAGCGCTGGCTTTGGGCTTGACACCCTCCCAGTTTCTGGTCCCTTCCAGTAAAGTCTTTTTGCTTAAACAAAGCCTGAGTTTATTTCTGTTTCTTTTCATGAAATAACTCCTGTTTTTTCCTAAAACATTGAGCCCAGGGCCTTCCACCACTGAGTTACATCCCCAGCCTGCCCACACATCTCACTTTTAAAACACAATAAATGAGCTTATGTTATTCACATACATTTTAACACTAATCCAACTTTAAAATACTGAACAGTATTAAGTAAAAATATGAGAGGAAAACTAAACCTAGTATGTTACCATTTATATGAATATATATCTACACAGAAAATTTATAATCTATCTCCAGAAGGTGATGGAATAAACTGGTATCATTTCTGTGGAGGTACGCTGCTTAGAGCTGGGGAACTGGGAATGGATGGACACTGTTCACTGTACACCCTTTCCTAGCTTCTGGATTCTAAACCATGAAATTATATTGCATATCCAGAAAGCAAATGGAATTAAATGAATTAGAAAAGCATGCAAACAGTAACAATCTCAGCCTCACTCACTAGGTCCGAACTCGTTCAGAGCAGGTTATTTCGGTATCCTTGTCAGTTCTCCGGACCCCAGCAGTATTCACACACCAGCATGTGGCAGTACCATTGCATTGCTTGGCTTTGAAGAGTCCCTTCTCATCACAGTCAGGGTCATATAGCCCATCATTGTTCTGAATTGCATCATCAGGTTTCAGTCTTCTCCCAGTCTTAGAGTGACTCATTTCTGCCTTCATCACCAAACATTTGGAAGCCACTGAAAAGAAAGGTGAATGTCAAACTGAAAAATAACCAACTTCATGTGCATGGAGAAAAACATTCAAGTCCAAACTCCCAGACCAAAGATCATACTTCCATCTTCTCAGTTAATTACTTGCTGAAGATAAGAAATTTCTGATGTGATATAATTTTAACAAAATAACATAATGCAGGTTTCGATAATCATAAAACTTCCTGATTCAAAGCACATCAATTTAAAAAGTATTATCAAGATAAAGATTAAAGGCATGAATACTTTACTCACATTTAGTGCAAACGACAGTATTTTGTGTACCAAAGGATGTACACTGGCATTCCTTATTTTCATTCAAAAAGCAGTTTGTAGTCAACTTATAGTTTTCACAGGTACAGCCTAGAAAAAAATTTTAAAACTCCACTTTAAAATGTGGTTACATCTACCAACTTTGATGCCCCTGCAGAGTTATGTCCTTAAGAAGGGATCCTGAATGATTTTTTTTAGCTATAATTTAAGTGCTTTGCAAGTACTCATACTTAGTTTGTATACATTACACAGACATTCAACAGTCTAATCTGTATGCAGTTTCTTTCTCTCTCTTTTTACTTTTGTTTTTTTGGTGGTATTGAGGTTTGAACTCAGGGATTCATGCTTGCTAGGCAGGTGCTCTACAACTTGAGCCACTCCACCAGCCCTGTTTCCTGTTGGGTATTTTTGAGATAGGTTCTAGAGAACTATTTGCCAGAACTGGCTTCGAACTTCATCCTTCTGATCTCTGCCTCCTGAGGAGCTAGGATGCGTGAGCCACCAGTGCTAGGCTTTCTTTCTTTTAAGTGGTGCTGCGGATCAAACTCTGGGCTTCATTCATGCTAGTGAAGCATTCTACCAACGAGCTATATCCTCTCAGCCTGGTTTTTGTTTCATGAGACAAAGTCTCACTCTGTAGCCCAGTCTAGCCTCCAACTCCAGATGCTCCTGCCTCTGACTCCCCAGGGCTGGGATTACAGAAATTGGCCACCACAACTGTTCAGATTTTTTAAAAATAATTTTTTTTCCACTCAGATTCCGTTCTCTCCCTCTTACACCTTAAAGACAAGAACGTAAAAAAATAATTTTTTAAATGTGCTGTGGATGGAGAGAGCCCAGGGTCCTTCAAATGTTAGGCAAGTGCTCTAACACTGAGCTACATCCCAGCACTAAATTCCAATTTCTGATTGAGTATTTAGCCCTATATTGTAGAATGTAGAAGAACATGAGTTGATTAAATTACTTTGAAAGTGTAATTCATCAATGTGATCCACCCTGTTAGTGATGCTTAAAATCCTTTGCAGTGAAGTTTGGTCAATTCTTTCCACTTCTAGGGACCATATTACAAAAAAAGCTAAAGATCACAACCAAGTTCTCTATTCTAGAGTAGTAAGAATTGGCATCATGCCGAGGACCAGTGGCTCACGCCTGTAATCCTAGCTACTCAAAAGGCAGAGCTAGGAGGACTGAGGTTTGAAGCCAGACGGGGCAAAGAGTACTTGAGAACCTATCTCGAAAAAATATCCAACCAAAACTGGGCGGCGGAGTGGCTCGAGTGGTAGAGGCCCGCCTAACAAGTGTGATGACTTGAGTTCAAACTCCAGTACCTCGAAAAGGTAAAAAAAAAAAAAAAAAAACCTCAAAAACCTGGAATAAAACTACCTATCCAACTGGAGACAATGGCGTGCTCTTCCACTCTACAGACATTATGTGATTTGAAGAATAAAGGAAATGGAAAACCCTAGATGGTGTGGGGTGGGAATAAAAATCAAAACATAAACCAGAGTATTTAGGCTTAAGCAGTGTTTAGAGCAATGTCTAAAAGAGACTTTACACAAGGTTTAGTTATGGGATTCTGGGTGGAATTGCGGGATTTTTATTCCTTCCGGTTACCTTTATTTCTGTGTTCCCTATAATAAACTTGGCATTACTCCCGATCCTTACAAAAAGGAAATCACACCTCTGGTAGTGAAGCCCAGGAGGCCCTCTCCGATGCACAGGTGCACAGCCGGCTCCTCTCGGCTACCTGTCCCCGCCCGGGGCGCACATCCGGGGCCCTGTCGCAGGTGCTCCGGGGAGGGGCGGGCGGGCTGGTCACAGCCACAAACTCCACCACCGGCTCAGGCCGGCTGGGGATCCCGAGTCCCCAGCCGGCCTGGGAAGGAGGTGCTGCTTCTCTAACCGCAGGGTCCCCCCGATCCCCCTCGCCCCCACCCAGGCCACTTCCCTAGAAAGAACTGCAAAAGGGGGGGTGCTCCCTCCAGCCGGCGCGAGGGCGCTTCCCGCCGCCCTCCCGCGGGAGGCTCAGACTCATTGTCCGCGCCGTCCAGTCTCCAGGCGGGAAAGCGCGGCCCGTCTCCGTCCCCTGTCCATTATCCTGTCCCGGGCACCGATGGCCGCCATGCCGGCCCGGGCAAGCCCAACCGTACACCTCCGCTCCTCACCTGTCTGAGCCGCGGCCACCGCGGCCGTAAGCAGGAGCCCGAACGCGAGGGCCTGGGGGAGCGCCATGCTGCGCGCGCCGAGGGCCGCGGGAGGCTGCGGGAGGGAAGGCGCGGGTCCGCGGCGGTGGACAGCGACCGGGCGCGCCGCGGGCCCAGCCAGGTGCGAACTCGCCGACGGACTGCGCGCTCTGAACGCGCGGAAGGCGGGCGCCGACCTGCCGGACCTGGCGGCTCCGCCCTCCGCCCCCCGCCCCGTCCCCGCCGCGCACTTCGGCGCCCGGCTGCGTCGTGAGTCACCGCCCGGGGCGGGGGAGGGGCGCCGGTCCCCGTCCCCGTGCGCCAACGCGCGCCCCAGGTGCGACAGCCCCGGGGGCGCTTTTTCTGTAGCACTGGCGACAGGGACACTTAGTGGCCTCGGAGGCTGCCCTGTACCGCTCGGGGTACGATGTGGGGGGAAAGGTGAGGACGGCCACAGGAACGTGAGAGCCAAGGTGGAGCACACGGAGAAAGCGAGGGCCACCAACGCCAAGCACAATAGACTGGCGATCTCTGAGCTTTACCTGGCACTGCCACTGAAGCTACATCGAGAAGAAAACTCGCCCCAGTTCTCCGGGGATGCGCAAATCTTTATAACTCTCAAAAGTTCTTTCCTGTTTTTGGCCTTTGAAGATGTAAGGAAAGTTATTTCCTTGATGCCAAATGCTGGGAGCCGAAAGTTCTTCCGTTTTCATATTAAAAAGCAATTCTCTTTTCTTCGAAAATTTAGGAACATAGAGACAATTTATTTCAATGCAAATAAATTCGAATCGTAACGCTATTTTTACAGTCTTAAAATTATTGTAATGATGTCAAGCTTTTAATAACTATTAAAGGAGTAAGTGTTTTGGGGCCGGCTGTGTGGCTCAAGTGGTAGAACTCCTTGCCTGGCAAGTGTGAGGCCCTGAATTTAAACCCTAGGGCTGCCAGGAAAAAAAAAGAGAGAGAATAAAATATTAAGTGTTTTTAAACGTTATTTATTAGCTGTAGTCTGTTTAAGAGACTTTATCTGCTTAAATCATAGGAGGAAGAGTTCAAAAGAAAATGAAAAGCAATTTTAAGATTCCACAAAATTTGATTAAACGTTGTCTTCATTGATCAATAATGTGTGTGTCATACTTTCCTGTTGGAGTGTAGGCAAGTTGATTAGTGTAAATAATCACAGTTACAAGTACTGCTATAATTTGAACTTTAGTTGGTACAATAATTAAAAATAATTATTAGATGTTTGACATCTTAAGGATATCCTGTCAGTGTTTTGAATCTAATTCTTAGTTGCCAGACCTCATTTTGGAACTTGATGATATGTTGAGCAATTTGTTTAATGAAAAGAACACTACAAAAAAAAAATCCATTTAACCATTTTCCAAATTAAAAAAAAAAGAAAAAGAAAAGAATGCTACTAATGAAACAAGAGTATGTTATCAACCAGATTTTTACCTGCTAATTTGAGGTGTTTTCAGAAAGTTGAATCCTTGCAGCCCCAAAACTACATGTTTTTCCCCTAGAATATTCTGACTCTTTTGGCTTCATTTGTAAAATGTTCTATTGACAGCTGTGATTCTGTTGCCTCATCAAGAAGAACCTCATCTTGTAATTTGACAGGTGCTAAATAAATTGTTCATTGCAATAAAGTGAATCGAGTAAATATGCTTGTTAAATAGATAACAAACTGTCACGCTAACCTGTGATTCCTAGCATCTGAGGAATTATTTATTTTTATACTTTTTTTTTTTGGAGACAGGTTCTCACTCTGTATCCCAGGCTGTCCTCAAATTCTGAATCAGAAAAAATGATAACAAAAACGAAACAAAACAAAACTCTGAATCATCCTACCTCAATCTCTGAGTGCCAGGATTGCAGACATGTACCACCATGCCCAGCTAATACAACGTCACATAGATCTGAGAGAGAAAGAAAGAGGGGGGAAGGGCAGAGAGAGTAAGAACTTACTGAAACTCTTCTGGGTGCTGTGACTCTCGCCTGTAATCCTACCTATTTGGGAGGCTGCGATTGGGAGGATTGTAGTACCACCAAAAAAAAAAAAATTTAACAAAACTCTTAAGTGTGATGAATTTTATTGTCGCATATGGTTAAAAGGGTGTAATATGTAAGTGTTTATTATAAGTAGCCTATCAGTTCTTAATTTTTTTGTTGTTCCATGATTGATACATGAGCAGAAAGGAGAGTACTTTATACAAGAAGGGTAACAGCGCCCCCTGACCACTACACAGCAAGCCCTCTCTGTCTCTTTGTTAATAGTTTGATGCTTCTCATTCATTCTTCTCACACATCCTGAAGTACCTGAATTCATAGGTTGTAGTCACAAAGAAGGGGATAATATATTCAGAGCCCATATGGTATGTGTAACATTTTTAATTTTTGATTCTTTAATTTTGATTATGTTGTGTGCATATGTTTGGCATGTCCTCATATCTGTCATTCAAAATTAACCATGCCCAGCTAAAAGAAAAAAAAACATAACATTAAATGAATTTGACAAATGCATGCATCTGTTATCCAGACTCCATCAAGATAAACATATCCATTATTTCCAGGAAGTTCCATTTTCCCTTCTTATTCAATCCCCCCCACCAAGATATGACTCCAGTTCTGATTTTTCTCCCACCATAAATAATTTTGCCTATTCTGAACTCAAGGACAACTTTATGGGCACATAGACTGTTCAGTCACATAGTACCCCATGTGTAGAAGGGTCCCATACTTGGCTTAATACTCTATTGTCATTATCTTTTTCTTTCTTTTTTTTTTTTTTTTTTGTACTACTAGTGTTTGAACTCAGGAACTTCACCTTGAGCCACTCCACCAGCTCTATTTTTTGTGAAGGGTTTTTTGAGATAGGGTCTCAGGGAACTATTTGTCCAGGCTGGCTTCAAACCGTGATCCTCCTGATTTCTGCCTCCTGAGTAGCTAGGATTACAAGTGTAAGCCACTGGTGCCGAGCCTGTTATCATTATCTTGAAGGTTTTTTTGGTTTTGTTTTTTTGTTTGTTTGTTTTGGTGCTTTACCACTTAAGCCACTCTGCCAGGCCAGAAGTTCTTAATGATATTGTGACAAGGGTCCACACATTTTCATTTTGTACATGGCTCCAGGAATTAGGTAGCTGGTCCTGCTAGAATTTTCATACCATTTGTAACTTTTCTTTTTACTTTCTTAGAACTGAGGTTTTTATATATATGAGAATGTTGTTATTAACTTTTTTTTTTGCAGTACTGGGTTTTGAACTCAGGGCCTCACACTTCCTAGGCAGGTGCTCTACCACTTAAGCTACTCCACCAACCCATCCATTTGCAATTTTTATGTAAAGGTTCTTTTGCTCAGTGTAATGCTTTTGAGATTCATGATGTTATATGAATGGATAACTTATTGAGCAGTATTTCATCACATGAATAAACCACAGTTCACTTATCCTGTTATTAGTGAACACTCATTTCCAGTTTGGATCTATTATGAATAATGTCTCTACATAGAGCACTAATGGAATTTTGGAGAAGGTAGTCTTCATAGCATTTCAAGATTCACCTCCACCTCAATCAATCCCTTAGTCATCTGACAACCTGAGACAGGCTAGACTTATGAAAAGTTTAGGACTCTTAAAACATATATGACTTGATATTGTATCTCAGGTTAAACATTTTTGTCTTTTTCTAAGCCTTCTTTTCAGTTGCAAATGTGTGTAGGTTATTCACACCCAGGCCTGGGGACAACTCAAACTACCCCCATCTGAGCCCAGGGACCACCCATGCCCTCCTCACTCATTGACTGTTACAGGTGGCTAGGAATCTCCAGGTTCAGGTTCTTCCTTCCCACAGGTTAGCATAAGTTTAAAAGCACCTGGAAATAGAAAGATTCTCTCCCTGCTTCCAGCTCCCATCTGTCCCACCATGGATGGCCTCTTGTAACTCCTCTCCTTAATCCTTAATAAATGCTATTATCTCCCTTACTGTATCAACCTGGAAGCTTCCAGGCAGGACACAAAGAATTTGGAAATTTTCTGATCAGAGACTGCACCTGCCTACTGCATTGTGGTGAGCCAGCCAGGAGACCTAGGGTGAGACCTCAGATTGTACTTCAAGATGTTATTTTACTGACTTTTTTCTTCTCAACTTTCTCACTCTGTCTCCCGCACCACTTTCTGTCTCTGTGCTTATTTGCCAAATGCTTCAGAGCTGAACACCCCCCACTGCTTAGAGATTCCATGACCCTCGTGTGAGGGCATCTCTCACCACACTGGATCTGGGCTTGCTCCAAGGCCCACGGGTCATGTTTCAGGGTTGCACCCTGAGGATGCCTGCCCCTGGGAACAGGATGCTTAAAATCTGGGTACCCCTATGCCCGACCTCTGAGTGGCTCACAGTGTATCAGCATCTTGCCTAGGAAATACAGCTGGAAGATGCTGGCCTAAGCTGCACTACCCCACCTGCTCACCCTCAGCAAGGGCCCATATTGGTCTTCACCTGCTCTGGATCCCTCCTCTCCCCTCTACGGTTCCATACGGTGCCCCCAGAAGAGCCCCCACACATTTCCAGCCTTCTGGGGAATGCAGTAGTCTTCTCCTTGAGAGCTACTGCCTTAAATCACAGCATATGTTGATTTCAGGAACACATTTAACCTAATGTCTCAATATTGCTTATTGATAAGATAGAAAAATGTGGGCTATATGCATAGTACACTGGGAGAATAGAAAGGGGGTCAGAGTGGCAGGGGGCTGATTTGATGACTGAGAGGCAAAGAGTACAATGGCAAGAGTAAGCTCCTGCAAAGTCTTATAAAAAGGTAATGAATTTCCAGATTATTCTAACGTAGGGACAGACATGATTTATGCTGTAAAAAAGGTCACTTTTGGGTGCTTTGGATTGTAAGGATGAGAGTGGGGATGAACTAAGAGGCTATTAGAGTAGTCTAGGGGAGAAATTATGTTAATTTGGGCAAGGACAGTTCAATGAGGATGGAGAGAAATACCCATACATAAGAGATATATTTTCAGAGTTAGAGCAGATAGGAATTGC